CTGGTGCGCCGCAGGGTAGCGCGCGATCCCTGGGCGAGAAAGTGGCAGGGGATGGGGGGGGGGTCGAGGGTGGGAGGGGGGCGAGGGCAGGAGGAGATGAGCGGCGGGATGGGGGAGGGGAAAAACCAGGAGGAGGAGGGGGAGGGGGAGGAGGAGGAGGAGGAGGAGGAGGAGGAGGAGGAGGAGGAGGAGGAGGGGGGCTCGAGGAGGAGGAGGAGGAGGAGGAGGAGGAGGAGAATGAGGAGGACGGGGCACGCCACGACTTTCTGGCCCGGGGGGCGCGGCGCAGCGGCGCGAGGCGCCGCCCTAGGAGGAGGAGGCTCGCGGGAGCGGGCCCAGAAAAAGCTCCGTCGGTCGTCGTCCTCCTCCTCCCCCCCCCCCCCCTCCTCCTCCTCCTCCTCCTCCCTTTGCCCGTGCGAGGCGCCAAAGATGTCCCAGCCGCTGCCCCGCTAGTTCCTCTTCCTCCCTCCTAGAAAACTCACCCTCCCCCAACTCCTACTCCTCCTCCTCCTCCTCCTCCTCCTCCTCCTCCTCCTTCTCGGGTCGCCTGCGGCCCTGGTCCTGCTCTTACATGGGGTCGGAGGCTGGCGCCGCGATCTGCGTTAGGGGTGCCGCCGATGCCACGATCTGCGCGAGGGTGCCACGATCTGCTCAGCGAAACGGCCAGAAGAAACCCCTAGTCTTAAAACGTGAGGAAGTCTCAACGAGCTGCCTTGTAGTAGCAATTCGGGCCCAAGATGTGGACTCGCACCCCCACCGAGGACTATCAGCATGAGGCCTTGTGTAGGATGTCTTGCATCATGTTTCGCCTTTGTTCTCGATTCTTTTCAGAGTCCCCCATCGTGGAGTACGTATACAACTTTCGTCGCCCGTTTTCCAGTTGTTTCCTATCTGCAAGCTGGACGTTCTGGGCGCTCGTGCCTTCGAGCCTGGAAGACTACGCCGAGATCGAGCGGGACCGCGAGCGGGAGCGCGAGTTGCTGGCCCGATGGGGGCGCCGAAGCGGCCGATGGGCGCGCCGACGCCGTCTTGCCCTGGACGACGATTTTTTCGATTGAGGCCTCGGGGGGAGGACGAGGAGGAGGAGGGGAGGGGGGGGAGGAAGAGGAGGAACAGAAGGAGGAGGATGAGGAGGAGGAGGAGGAGGAGGAGGAGACGGGGGAGGAGGAGCTTTGCCAAGTTCGCGTTAGGTTAATACCTAAACCCATCCTGGGGACATCCACCTTCCTCCTCCTCCACCCTCCCTCACTTTCCTCTCATGCCGATTTGGATTTAGGATCGCTTGGCTTTCCAGCAGCCTGCAGTGGCCAGCCATGGCCAGTGCCGCCGCTACGGGCCCCTTGAGCAAGCCAGCCCTGGCCTTGGCGAGGTTCCTGAATGCTGATCCCGATGAGGCGCCTTCTCTCAGAAAACAGATGTTTGCCCAAAACCGTTGCATGGCAATGACAGCGACTGGGAGCTTCACTGCCAGAGCGAATCAGAGCCACATGCACGCCCTGCACACTTGGCACAAACATAATAAGTCGCCCCCCTTGTGTGATTTCACTACCTACGTGCACAGTGTGAACTCGTTCTACATGTCCAAGATTAGCGGGGACCTCAAGGGGAACAGGGAGGCGATGAAGAATTGGGCCAAGGGCGAAGCGAAAATCGCTAAGAGGCTGTACCTGGAGTGGCGGAAGCGCGCGCGCAAGGACGGGCAGCGCAAGACGTCGCAGCAGCAGCCCGAGAGCATCGACCCCAGTCGCAGGATCCCCCCGCCGACGAAGCGGCGCAAGGTGCTCGGCAAGCAGAACGATATGATCAGCATCGGCGATAGCCCAGTCAAGGCTCCCGGGGGGCTCAAAAACATAAGCGAAAACGACATATAAAACAAAAACAAGAAACAAAAAAAAAAAACACATTCAAAAACTTGATTGTCGCCAGCAGTGCAGCGCAGAACCTGCCTGACCCCCCCCCCCCTGCCCTCATCGCGCCCCTGACGCCTGTCATTGGGCAAGGCAGGCGATCGACTGCAGCTAGGGGGAAGGGGGCGGAAAGGGAGGAACGAGGAGGGCAGAGGAGGAGAGGCAGACGGCGATGGGAGAGGTGAAGGCCGAAGACGATTGGGATAGCGAGGAGGAGGAGGTGGAGGAGGAGGAGGAGGAGCAGGAGGAGGAGGAGGAGGAGGAGGAGGGGGAGAAGGGCGAGGAGGACGAGGAGGAGCATCAGCATCAGCAGCAGGAGGAGGGGGGGGATGAGGAGGGGGAAGAGGGGGGGAGGTTGAGGAGGAGGAGAAGGAGGTCGATCGCGCTGCCCTGCGACCCCCCTCCCCAGGCTGCTGCTGATCATCGCGGCGCTGGCGAAGTCGGAGACAGCCTGCAGGGCGAGGGCAGCCTGTGCGGCGAGGAGGCGGCTGACGAGGCGGCTGACGAGGAGACACGGGCATGGGAACGGGGGAGGTGAGGAGGGTGGGAACGGCGGCGAGGGGGCAATGGAAGGACGGCCGAGGGGAGGGGGAGATAAGAGCGCCCACCCTCGTTGCGACGACGTCGAGGACGACGAGGACGACGAGGGCGACGGCGACGACGACGACGACGACGACGACGACGACGACGACCCCCGCCACAGCAGGAGAGCCACGTCGACGACATCGACGTGGAGATCCTCGACGAGGACGCGGACGAGATCCTCGACGAGGACGCCGCCGACGAGGGCAACTCGGGCGAGATCGCAGAGGTGGCCGTCGGCGAGCTCGGCAACTCGGGCAAGCTGGCGGGCGATCGTCATTGGCGCGACGCCGCGATGGCGAGCCTCGAGGGCTCCGACCACGCGGGCGACGGCGCCGAGATCGCAGGCCTCGAGGGCTCCGGCGAGGGCGACGGCGCCGAGATCGCGGGCCTCGAGGGCTCCGGCGACGCGAAGGACGGCGCCGAGATCGTAGAGCTCAAGGGCGCCGGCGACGCGAAGGACGGCACCGAGATCGCGGACCTCCAGGGCTCCGGCGACGCGAAGGACGGCGCCGAGATCGCAGAGCTCAAGGGCGCCGGCGACGCGAAGGACGGCGCCGAGATCGCGGACCTCGAGGGCTCCGGCGACGCGAAGGACGGCACCGAGATCGCGGACCACGAGGGCTCCGGCGACACGGAGGGCGGCGCCGAGATCGCGGGCATCGAGGGCTCCGGCGACGCGAAGGACTGCACCGAGATCGCAGACCTCGAGGGCTCCTGCCACACGGAGGGCGGCGCCGAGATCGCGGGCATCGGGGGCTCCGGCGACGCGGAGGACTGCGTCGCGATCGCGGGCCTCGAGGGCCCCGGCGACGCGGGCGAGATCGCGGGCCTCGAGGGCTCCGGCGGCACGGCCCCCGGGGGGGGGGGGGCCCCGAGTCGGGTGGCATCGACGGGGCTTCTGGCGGGCGCAAGGTAGCGGCCCGCTGGACTGATAGTCGGCGTCGTCGTCGTCCTTCCGCCTCCTCATCCTTCTCCTCGTTCCTCCTCATACTCCTCCTTTCCTCCTCTCCTCCTCCCCTCTCCCCTCCCTCCTCTGCTCTCCTCTCTCGTCAGCCCTTGTCGGCGCCATCTCCTCCTCCTCCTCATCCTCCTCCTCCTCCTCCTCGTCCTCCTCCTCCCCTCCCTCCTCCTGCTCCTCCTCCTCATCGTCCGCGTTGTCGTCGCCCTCCTCCTCCTCCTCCAGCCCAGGGGCCTGGCGACGACGACGACGACGTCCAGATCGTCGGCGAACCGGGCGCGCCGGCGGAGCCGCCGCAGGCCGCCCACCCCGCGGTGGTGCTGTTGGCGAGCAGCTTCATACAGGACTTCCCGTACGAGACGTGCGCGTGGTGCGGCGAGGGCTTCTGCGCGAGTGACAAGGTCGTCGTGACTGCGACGAACAACACGCACCTCGAGAGCAGCACCATGATTCACGCGCAGGACCTCGACGTGATCAACGCCATGTCCGAGCCTGCGACGCCAGAGCGCAGCGATGTCCAGAAGCAGCTGGAGACTGTCGAGTCATCCTCGCGCTACTCGGAGACGAGGGGGGGGCGGAGGAGGAGGAGGAGGAGGAGGCCAGACGAATGAGGTTGGGGGGGGGGAGGCCAGAAGGGGGAGGGATGGAGGGGAAGGGGAGGGGGGCGAGGAGGAGATGGAGGAGGGGGGAATGAGGGAATGGGGTGATGGAGGGAAGGGAGGAGGAGGAGGAGGAGGAGGAGGAGGAGGGGGAGGAGGAGGAGGAGGAGGAGGAGGAGGAGGAGGAGGGGGAGGAGGAGGAGGAGGAGGGAAGGGGGAAGGGGGAAGGGGGAAGGTGAGGAGGAGGAGGAGGAGGAGGAGGAGGAGGAGGAGGAGGAGGAGGAGTGCTTCGCAGGAGCTCATGTTCGCCCAGGCCCTGGAGTTCGCTGACACCGTGCCCGCCGCGCGCCCGAACGACGACAAACAGGACGAGGATGAGGAGGGCGGCGGCGCCGCCAAGTCCCAGAGCGGCGGCGGCAAGGCCTCGGCGGCTGCAGCGGCAGCAGCGGGGGCCGCGGCTGCGGCGGCAGTCCGCTCGTCCGCCGAGGGGCCGGAGGTCGTGGCGGAGGCAGCTGCAGGCGACGGCGGCAAGAGTTCAGAGAAGACGAAACGCCTGCTGCAGAAGAAAGAGGACCGCATCGGAGAGATCCAGCAGGCGCTGCCTGACTTGCTGAAGTACCGCATGAATCCTCATTGCAACACGCGGACAATCACGAAGGATAGAAAGGGAATCAATGGGGAGGGGGAAGGAAACGAGGGCGGGGGAAAGGGGTGGGAAGGGGGGGGAGGTAGAGGAGGAGGGGGCAGGGAGGGGGACTGGACGGGGGGTCCGAGAATCAGAGGGGCCCGAGTCGTTCGGGCCCCCCCCCATCCTCCTCCACCCTCCTCCTCCACCTCCTCCTCGCCCCTCACCTCCTCCTGGTCCCTTTTGTTTTTGTTGACCCACCCGAGAGTAAAAACAGTGAGCAGGGTAGGCAACGTTGGGGGGCACTGCCTCGGGATCCACCGCAGGAGGGCTTCGACCAGGCGCGCATCCAGGTGAACGTCGACCCGAGCAAGGGCGCGCACTTTTGGGTGGCAGGCGACGTGACGGACCCGAAGAACAGGTCGCACCCTTGGATCAAGTGCGGTGGGCTCGTGGCGGCTTGGGAGTCAGCGCAGGCGGCCGCCGGGTGGGGGGAGTGAGCTACCTTTGCAAGTTATCTATATGCATTTATATAGATGTTGCTTTCAACTTAGATGGAACGCACGTGCTGCCGCCTCGTGTTTTCGGCCGTGCGCCGCTTTCGGCCCATGAGGGCCACGGGGTTGAAATGCCGCGCGGACGTTCCCTCTGGCGCGGCCGCGCAGTCAGGGCCGCACGTGCACCAGGGGGCCCTTCGGCGGGATTCGCTCAGGGAGAAGCGTCTCTCGCCTCTCTCTCGAACGTCGGTCGCCTCCTCGCCCGTGCAGTCTTGCGAGCGAGCGGCCCGTCGTGGCCAATGGCCCCATTGAGGCCCTCGGCCCCTGCGCGGCCCCTTAAGACCCTCGGCCCCTTCGTGGCCCAGTAAGACCCTCGGCCCCTACGCGGGCCCTCGAGCCCCTCGGCCCCTACGCGGCCCCCTAGGACCCTCGGCCCCCACGCGGCCCCTCAGGGATCAGGAGCAGCAGGAGTCGGGGAAGGTTCAGGATCAGGCGTTAAGAGACCATGCACCCAAGCACCTCCGCATTCAATCGTCACCGAACCCCGAACTGGCCGCCGCGCGGAACGACAGGATGAAATCTGGTGCTTGGTATGGCTTGGCGCGGTTCGAACATCATTGCGAGGGTCGCATGGTATCCTCTGCGAACAGCGGCCCTGGCTCCCTCCTCGAATCCATCCTCGTGCATTTCTGCCCCAGTCCCCTCCCCTACCTCCTCCTATCACCCCTGTCCTCTCCCGCCCTCCCCCCTCCTCTTGGCATCTCACCGTCAGCCAGCGTTGCATGCTCAGGCGTAACGCTCTTGCGCGTCACTTCGTCAGTGGGTCGCGCGATGCTCGCGTCGAATGTCCTGCGGCCTATCTTGCTAGCGGCGTGCTGCTTGGGCCCTGCTGGTGAGTGGGATCTGCCCGACCGCACTTTCGATTTCGTGGAGGTGTTCGCCGGCGAGAAGGCTGTGACACATGGTTTGCGACATCTTGGCTTCCGCGGGATTGCAGTGGATCTCCTGGACAACCCGTTCCACGACATTGCAGAGCCCGGCGGTTACCTGATGTGCGTGCGAGCGGTCCTGACCATGAAAGCTGGAGCGTTGTTATTCTTAGCTCCGCCATGCGCTACATGGGTCTGGATGAGCAGGAACTCCACTGGTCGTTCATCTGACCAGCCGCAGGGCGGCGGGCGAGCAGCAGGCTTGGCGAACATCCTGGTGGCGCGAGTGTGCTACCTCATTGCGCTCGCATCTACCCTCGGGGTGCGCGTGGTCGTGGAGCAGCCGTCATCGAGCATGTTATGGGAGTTCCCTATTGTGCAGGCTGTATCTCGCTGGTTGTCGTTTGAGTTCGTCTCCGCCGACATGGGCGTCTATGGGGCCGCTACGCAGAAAACATTGACGATCGGCGGCACGCTCCCACGCATCGCTTCGCTCTTCGCCCGGGCTGGGCCGAGTGACAGGGATCGCTTCAGGCTCGAGGCCGAGTCGAGCGGCCTCGCGTTGCACAACAGCGACGTGGGCGCCGACGGGAAGAGGAAAACTTATGGC